ATTCGAGCTTAACAATTTTAATAAAATATTGCAATAGCAAGCATAAATATCAATGTTGTTCATTATTTTAAGAAGTGGGTACAAACAAAAAGATTTGAAATTGACAATTTTACCATTTCACTGAAACAGCAGTTAAACATTTCTATCTTCCCTTTCTTTCTTTCACTGAAAACTTTCACTAAAATCAATTAGTCTTTTCCCCTCTTTCCATGTAATCAAAACAGAATAGTTCATTATTTGTGAAGTATTGCCAGGACATAGCTGTTGTGAGAACTAACAAAGGAAGGGAAAAGCACAATTATAATAGGATTATTTATTACACGACATCTTATATTCTAGCATATACTATGAATCTATGATTCATAAAATCCAGAGTTGGTTGGTTGAGTGATTCATTTTTTATGGTTTATCAGCCCCTTTGGAGGCTATTTAAAGAAGCCAGAAAATACTTTTAGATTGTAAGAAATTTTTTTTTTTTTTTTTAGGTAATAATGATTTAGTTATACAAGTTCTACTAATTAACCCATTAGTGGGGAAGAAAAGGTTGATTCTCCCCCAAAGAACCAAAGAAAGGTATTAATCCAATCTAGGAGAAGGACAACTGTGAATTCAAAACCTGAGAAATGGTTTACTGGGGACATTGTGGTACACTATGTGCACCAGTTCTCTGTATTCAGCTCTTTCAAAAAGTGAGGTTGCTTCTACACAACAAGCCTTCACCACTATAATCAAATTATGTATGAGTATTCTGGCTGTTTGGTTCTAAGAACTGAGTTTGCTTTGTCCTCTCACACCAAAGATGATGGGAGAATTACATACACAAACACATGTGTGTGTGTGTATAATATACAAATTTGGAGACCAATGAATATCCACTATTTAATTTTGGGGGGAGGATTTCTATGCAGAATTTGAACATAGATTGCCTCAGGTGTTTTGAGCACATTCAGCTTTTATAAGCCATTATCAATAAATTTGTGTGAGTTGATAGTTATTCTCTCCATAGAAATGCATTGTGCTTCTTTGACATTTTTTAAATGTATCTTCATGTATATTATGTCAGGGTTCTTCAATCATTTCATCTTCAGGTATTAGTTGTGCCATTTGTGTCTTCTTTATTTGTTAATGTTTTGTGAAATCTATTTAGTATGTTCTTAGACTGAATAAAACTTGAATAAAAAACATCTTAAATAATTCTAATTGTTCTTCAGCCAAATTTGCATAAATAAAAAATTACTACCCATATACATCTTCAATATAAAGTTGATATTGGAAAATTTCCAGACGGTACATGCTATGATTGTACATTTACTGGAAATGCATGCAGAGCTAATGTGCATTGATAACTCTACCTACTGAGTTAGTCAGTAGGCTGGGATTTTGCAACATTGGGGTCCTATGAGCTTTATGGTGACTGACAAATTTGAACAACATGCTTCATCGGATTTTGCAAGAAGCTTGGCAAATTTGCAGCAGTGTCTCTCAAAATACTTTATCAGGCAAACATTTTCAGTCAAACAGATTTTTTAGTGGCTTGAATATTTCAAGGCTGGTCAAGTATCCAATGAAGATTAATGTTCAAGGTGACCAGTCACCAACAAAATTGTGAACTCATCTATGAGAATCATCCCTGAACAATCCATCTGCTCTAGCATTCTCACATGGCTAGAAACATTTAAGAGTTTGCTAGATCTTGGTCTCGAAAATTTGTTATACCACCTCACATTTTTTTTTATCTCTCTCACCCAATCTTCACATACTGTTATATTCCATGCTAATAGGTATATATACTTGAAAAACAAGGTAGATAAAATAAGTAAAGGTTTATTGTAAAAACCCAGTACAATAAGAATAAAAGTAACAGTTATGCACAAGGTCGTCGCAAGTCTATCCAGTAGTGAGTGCTACTATTGGAAGGCCAGTAGTTTGCGCATAAGTCTGAGTCAGATCCCAGTTAGTATATTTACTATCAGATGTGGCACAAGGCCGAATTTAATGTGGGGCATCCGAGTCTGTAGGCTCAGCCAAAAATTCCCATAGACCCCATATAAAATGGCGTCGAGTAGCTGTTTCTGAGATGAGACTCTGCCCTTCAGTACAACCTCATCTGGGGATCTGCTCTGCTCAGAGGCAGAGAGTTCGACAAGCACAGCTGGAAAAGATTTCAGCTAGTTGGTATTTACTATCCCCCCCACCCCACAAGGGGTAGATGTGGCACAAGGCCGAGTTTAACGTGGGACATCCGAGACCTTAGGCTTGGCCAAAAATTCCACATAGAACCTGCATAGACGGGATCGAGTTGGTCTACCTCCCCGAATGAGACTGCCTTTGGCATAGACTTGTCTGGGTTCCTCTCAACCCAAAGGCAGAGAGTTCAACTGTATAGCTGAAAAGATTTCAGCTAGTCTCTGTAGTCCGTTGACTTAAAGATGCTTATAGGTAGTTACTACCTATAGTGTAGTCACTCATGGGGTGACAGGTTATTCCATTACATCACATACATAAGCATATAAATATATGAGGAAAAAATGTATGACAAAATGGAAAAAATGTTTACTCCTGACGCGTTTCATCATTCAGGACTTCAGACTAAATTTGTTATGTTGGTACAGCTACACATAAACATGACAGGGGTGGTTGGGAATTTAAGAATCTTTATTTTTATCTAGCCAAATTCATTTAGTCTTTTTCTTTCTATCATTTTGTAAGTAGGTATTCCACGCTGTGATAGAAGATCTGCTAGGAATGGTGAAAATGTTTGTAAGAACCAGGGCACAAATTTACTGCAGATGATCTTGTGATCAAGGCAGTCTTTAGACATTTACGTTCTAGTGAATTATTTTCTCTTTTGATTAGAGATTCTCTTTTGATTTTTTTTATGTCAAAATTGTGGTCAGTCTCATTATGCTGGGCAATCAATGCATTTCACAAAATGTCCTGTTTTTATTGTGTATGTGTCTACTCAAACATGGGGGCTTATGGCCACATCATGTCAAAACACTAGTTCTTGTACAGTCAACAAAGTTAAGCAACATCAATACTGGTAAATACCTAGATAAGTGACCACTTGAGAATACCAGGTGCTGTAAGTTTGGATGTATGGCGAGTATAATGGATAATGACTCCAAATTGGAAATCAGAGAGCCAAGTTCCAATTCAAGTTTGGTTCATTATATACACTTATATGCAAATACCCTTGGAATGGTATGAAACCACCTCTTCTAAGGCTTAATTAATAGGAATTGAATCAATGAATTATCATCTCCAAAAAATTCTTACAATCTAAAATTATTTTCTGGCTTTAAATAACATGCAAAAGGTGTTAAAAAAATAAAATATCAATCAATCAAACACAAGTACCTACTAAATATAAAAGTTAGAATAATGATAAATAATGTCAGATTAAAAATAAAATTCATTAACGTCTTAGACATTGCCTTATGTTTTGGGTACAAAAATAAAGTCAGTAGATATGGACTTTCGAAAAGATCTGAACCAGACAATGTGCATTCTTTAAAAACCTGTGACCGAGAGGTCTGAAACATGACAAATACGACAAGTGTTTTTTTTTTTGTTTTTTTTTTTGCTCTCAATGAAAATGGATGCAGGTTTGAACCCTCATGGCAAACAAATTTTCTTTATTAAGTCTTTCGAATACACAAGTTGATAGACATAATTCACACCATTTAGAAAGAAACATGGCATCTACTCAAACATTTAGTATCCACTAAAAATAACATTTAGAGTAATATAAAATATATGTGCCTACATGTGTGTGTATTTAGGTATTTATTTCTTTATTTATACATGTTTGGTAAAGACCAATGAAAATTGAGGATTTTTGGTTTACTTTTTCTATATTTCATACCATTTTCCTAATTTCCAGCAGGAATTTGACTATAAATTGTTCCATGTCTGAGTAAATTCGGCTTTCAGCAAGGCCATTATCAAAGAGTTTTATTTTTTGTTGATTTCATTTTCAAATATAGCTTCTTTGTATCTTCAAATGACAGTTTGTTTTATTGGTTTTTTATTACTAGAATTTTTTTTTGCAACAAGCTGACACATGTTGAAATTCTCACAATATTTAGTATTGTTGAAGTTAATGCTAACATTTTTTTATCAAGATTTACAAACTGTACATTTCATTCAATTTCACGAACCAATCAATAAAATTTGAATAAGCTGATTTGTTTGGAAAAATACTTTGACAAAAACTACTTCACAGTTTAATAATTTCTTTAATTTTATAGGACTAAAAAGAAACCATATTGCATTTTTATTAAATAGGTATTTATTTAAATTTTTTTTTTTTTTTTTTTAACAGTGAGGTTACTTTGTATTTTAACTAATGAAACTTTTAATTTTTCCAAAACAAATTAATGAAAATTTATTGTACTAAGCTATGCACTTTAGTAAAGCCAACTGTACTTTGTACCCCCTTACTTGTTTGCACTTTTCCCCAAAATTTGGTTTCGATCAGCCAATGTATGCCTATTTTAGAAGGTGTGAGAGACAGACTAATGGAAGTAACAGAATTTTATATATATATAGATAGATTAATGAAATGCATTTAGTATATTTGTTCCTGTATTTTTATAAAATTTTATGGACATGTTGTCAGGGTTTTTTTTATTGTTAATACTTCTTGTAAGAAAAGAGTGCAATAATGATTTATATTTAAATGTGCATATGTGCATATATGCATATTCATATGCAACGAATTCTTTGATGCACTTTTTTTTCTGTCATGATTATACTTGCTACAAATTCAGTCATCTTAATTTCTTCTACCATGGAAAAGCTGGGCATTCTGAAAGTTATTGATGATTAATATAATTAAGTCAAATTTATTCAGCTGATAACCAATGCAATGACCATTGGCTCTTTTTTACTTGTAATGTCTGCCAATCAAAATTAAGATGATTAACTTTGGCTCATATTCTCTCATTTCTTTTTCTTACAGGCTTTAAGCTTCACTCAGTGAGTAGAACAAAAAGATGTCTGCTCCAAAAGGAAACAAAAAGAAAGGTAAGTGCCTCCAAGTTTTCATATTTTCCTATTTTTTCTGATTTCATCTTTACATAAGATTTTGGCAGTGTCGCTGTTGTAGATAATGTCTTTTAGTCCTTGATTGATGTCCAGTAATTCTAAAAACAGAAGAATTATCTTTCAGAACCAAAAAATGCTGATTTCCTGCCATAGTTTCAGTTTCTTATCTATCAAGTAAATGCTAAATATGTTTTATACCTTTCTAGCTAGTTGTAGAAAAAGAACAAAAAATGAACTCCAATTCAACGATAGCTGTTTCCTCAATAGGAGTAGATAGGTTTGCCCATTGTCCAGGTTCACACTCCTCCCCAGTCATATGAACAGGAGTAGAGGTTTAGCTCTTATTTCCAGTTTCTTCTAAAGTCTACTTCAACTATATACTTCTGACATGTCCGCATAAACTCTGAAATTTTATTTACTATCATTTTATTTATTTTTTCTTCAATAGGAGTAGATAGGTCCACCTATCATCCAGTTCACACTCATCCTCTTTTGAACAAAGGTAGGGGTTTATCCCATGTTACCTGTTTAGGATTGGTTTCTGATTCCTTCTAAACTTTTCTTATTCTCTTTCACTCCCAGTAACCCCTGGTACTTTAGTGGCATTATCACCTTGAATTGATTTTTAAAAAAAAAATCTTTTCTTTAATGGCATTGGTATTTAGACAATAAAAGTTGATGTTTTATTGATTAAAGCGAATTTCTTTTTCCACCTATTTTTATTATGACATTTAAACTCTAAGATAAATTCAGTGAATATATTGTATTTTGAAAGGATTGTGAACTCTGTTTAAAAACAAAACATTATTAAATTTTGTTTTTCACGATTAATAATTAATTGTACAATGTTTCGCTATCTTTGAATTGGAAACTTTTGCATTTTAATTTGATTGGAAAAATGCCATCTCAAGGTCTGCCAAATGCTTCCATAAGTGGCTCATTCATTTAATTTATGCTATCATTATATTATAGATCAGGCAGTAAAAATCTTACATGATGAACATTTATTTTTCTTGTGTACACAAATATTCTATAAAGTATTTAACTCTTAATTAAAACATTTATTTATTAGATGTTAATTATAGTTTCCACTTTGATCAAAAGTTGTCAGGAAAGCAAGGCTCATTATCCGAAATTGGTCCTATCTCAAAGACTTTGCCACAGGTTACTTATGATTACAATTTTGTTATTGGGGATCCAATCTAGTGTCACAGAATGCAAAGGCTAAGGCCAAAGTAGTCAGTGATTGGCTGCAGTGCCTCATAGGTAGAGTATTCTGACAGTGATGAGTTGCCTTTGTCTTGGTTTTGAAAATAAGTCCAAAACAGCACAAATTCAACAGTCTCAAGAATTCTGAAGTGTCTGTATACCTCCAACACCCAGGTTTGCAACTGACTAATACCACCCACAGAGGGACACTGGGCCAACATGCAACATGCGTTCTTGTCACGTCAGTCCTCCTACTGCCTCATAGAATCCAAGCTGCAACTCTTAATAAAATGAATGACAAAAGATAAATGACCCTTTTCATTGATACCATTTTATGAGTAGCATGGGGATCCTAACAGTAGCACTTTATACAAACTTTAAAATCATCAGTTCCTCCATGATTATTTTAAGATATCTATTTCTATTATCAATATTGAAGATTTTACAAGGACATGACTGTATGAGCAAACAAAGAATCAAAAGACACTTCCTTCCTCCCTGCCCCTTAATCTCCCAGTGACCTTTATACAGAGCTTGCTAATAAAGTAGTGACACAGACTACTTGAAGTATAAGACTGGCTGTCATCATGCAATATTGATTCCTATGTCCACACAGTATATATCAAGAAATTTTCTATTTACAATATTGAGCTCTTTTCTCTCATAAATATAGCAAATTTAAACAATTATATATATTTTGAAATTTTATATATTTATAGGGGAAGAGTGCACAATATTGGGGATAAAGCATTTCTCTGAAGATTGCGTTGTGTAACATTTTTTATAATGCTCAAATGTTACATTCTCCTTCTATACAGAGAGTTGTGGAGCAATGCTTTCATAGGCAAAGCACACACATATTACACTGATCGTAGACAAAAGTGCTGATCTAAATAGAAATGATTCTGCCATATTTTATGGGTACTATGCCAGTGGGGAAATAAAGAAAATGTATTGGAGATCAGCCATCAGTTTGTAATAAACTAACATACTACAACCATTTTGCTGGTAGTACCATCCCACTCTTATGCCTTTTTTGTTTTTACTATGACGTCAGTTAATCTGTTTAAAATATTAAAACAAAATAGTTCATTGTAGCTGTGCATATTTTGCGAATAATCTATGCGTACAAATATAATCTTGACACTTTTTCACACATATATTCATTTTTTAATTTAGTCTTTAAAACTTGTAGCATACCTACAGACGATAATGAGTATGTCCTCATTCACATAAATACAGTAGTAAATACTGTATGTTGGTCTACAGTTGGAGATTCGTTGTGAAATTCACTTGACTCACTTCTAGCAATTGACTAATATTTCTATGTGCTGTTGGCGAATCTTATGTGTGTTGTTCTTGTCCTAAGTATTATCATTCATTATCAACCTTCATTTAATTATTCTATTCAGTAACCTTCCCAAGGTTACAACAAAAACAAAAGATTCATCAGAAATAAAGAAACATAAATTAAAGAATTAGAATTATTATTAGTACCTGTGAAAATTTCTGTTTCCCAATTTTCTGACATATCATACTATTTAGTGACTCAATAAATTCCTTAATATATCATTAAATATTTGAGCTTAGCAACTTTAACCATCTATTGCAATGACAATCATAAATTTGAATGTGGATCATTATTTAAAGTAGTAAGAAATGAAAAGATTTAAAATTGAGTTTTTTTCCATTTCACTGAAGCAAACATTAAACACTTGAGAGCATTATCACCTCCTCTACCTTCTCTGTTTCTTTTTCTCACTGAAAAGTGGTACTGTGAGCCCCCTGCCTATTCATGTTTCAGCATTCACGGCTTCACACATTTGCAGATTTTTCTTTAGAACATATGTACTTGTTAATCTTGGAAACCCTGAATATTCACATGTTTTTCTGTAGAACACATGTACAATTTATTCACTGAGAACTCCCTCGATTCACATATTTTTTTCAATAGAAAATATTTAAAATATTCTTGTATTATATTCCTGTTATTTAAGTGACTTAAAACATATAATAGTTCACTTTTATGGTAAAAATTGGCAGAATTGTATAACTTCATTGTAAAAAAACAAATGCAAAAACATGTGTAGTGCTTGGGCTTTCTTCTTTGTTAGGGGCTGCACCTGGAGTCTTAAAAGTAGCTTAAAGCCTAGGGACATTATCACAGTTCAGTTTTTAGAAAATGTTTTAAACTTTATATTTTGTCTTGTTACATATATTTTATACAATATTTTTAATGGTTGTATCGATTTGCATGTAATTAAAAACAGTTATTATACGTATGAAAGAAAATTTACGCTAAGTTTATGGTCACCAATGCTATTTTTCAAAAATGTTTTTAAAAAGGGTCTGAAATGTTTCTAAAGTGTTCAGGATGAAAGTTTAAGGCATATGGGGTTTTAACAATCAAAATAGGTACTTATAAGCACTTTTAGTGGGGTTACAAGTATTTGTGGATTCTAACTATTTGCAGTGGTTCTGGTCCCTAACCCCCGTGAATACGGGGGACTCACTATATAGTAATTATGAGTTCAATCTTTGGAAGAGGATAATTGTTATGGTAATTTACCCATGCACACATGGACTCCCCAACTATAAATAGGAGCAGGTACTGCCTTTTGGAGAGGGAAGTTTCCAGCAGTCAGCTCTGACAGTCAGACTGAGCATTCTTGCTGTAACACTCATTTGTATACGTTTGTATTATTGTTTCTGTTAATATATTTAACTCAATTCCTCTTTTTGTGTCTTTATTTCTAGCCCTAACAAGGCTACAACAGTAATACAGACACGATGGAAACAGGGCAAGCAATAACTGAGCAATAGTAAAAGAGAGCAAGACAAGACATCCCTAGAAATGTACAGTGGAACAAGAACAATCTATCCTTATAAATTAAATTTTTCAGTTCAAAATTCCCCAGTGGTTACCCAAATCAGCTGACACCTGAAGAAGACCAGAGAGTCAAAAACGTGATAATAACAATGAAGATGAGAATATTAGCCCAACTGTAAACAATGATTACTCATTACAAAAATTCATGCGAAAATTTTTAAAAAAAAAATGTATTGACATAAAATGGATCTGACATTAATTTTGCAAATATATCTTTCTATACAAATTAATTTCTATTAATTTTGCAAACGTATCTTTCTATACAAACATATTTATATATGCACTTTGCATGGGGTGATGGTTAGCAAGGCCGTCTCAGATTAATTTGCAAGTTATATGATCTTTATTAAGTAGCTCTCAACCATGCCCTTGTACTGGACAAAGCTGAACTTAGTCAATAATTTGTATGTTCTCACCTCCCTATTTGTTTTGCATGTGGAAGTATAGTTAAACTTATAGAAGACAGAATGGAAATGGAATAATGACTAAAATTGAATACCAAATATTTTATGACTAATATATCAATCTGAAGACTATTCTCTTTGGTTAGAATCTACTAGAAGTATATGCATGAAACCTCATTTTAATACATTATATATATATATATATATATATACACACACACACATATAAATAAATACTGCAGCAGCTCTGTACTCCTAATGTCTTCTCCTGAAGTCTGAAATTTTATTAACTATTTAATTTCTTTTTCTCTCTTCCACCATTAGGAGATTTGCTTATCATCTAGTTCACACTCCTTCCTGGTCTATTGAACAAGTGTAGAGGTTTATCCCTTGTTTCCTGTTTAGAATTGGTTTTCTGGTTCCTTCTAAAGACTACTTCACCTCTATACTCCTAATGCTTGTCCCTTCCTATGCTA